ATATACAAATCTGTCAGTTTCGGACAGATTGCATGCTCATTATGTTTTGAGTAGTTAAAACCTCAAATCACCATATTTTTGAATTAAATCAGTGGCATTTGAAAGGTAACTCATTAATTTAACTTCCAGAAGAAAAATCAATGGTTTTGAATGACTATATAGAGAGTTATGGTTGTTTAAAGTAGGGTTTACCTACTGAAAAACTCTCAGATGCACATTCATAATGTTTTGAGTATTTGGGAAGTCAAAACTCAATGTTTTTGAGTGAGACCAATTGGATTACAACCCTAACTCAATAAATAAACTTTTAGAAGAAGATTCATAACATTTGAACATATTATTTTCAAGATATGGACGATTTATGCACATGCACATAATCTGTCAGCACTTAAAAATGCCATTTTTAAGAATCAAACTCACATACAACATGATTTTACCTATTTTCTCCTTAAAACACAGAATTTTCGGAGGTTAGAAGATAGTAGTTTAAAATGCATGAAAAGTGGGTTTTTCCCCCAAAATTTGCAAGAAAAAAAATGGAGATGAAGTTGTTACCTTGATTGTTGATAAGAAGGATGCAATATCTTCAAATCCTTGCTATTTTGATGAAGAAAAGATGAAAATTTCGGCTGGAATGAAGGATGATGAAGATGGTTCTAGGTGACTCTTGAGTTTAGAGAGAGAGAGGGAGAGGAGTTTCAAAATTTGAAAAGATGAGAAATGAAGATTAATGGAAGAATCATGGTATTTATATGTGGATAGATGGAGGGAAAAAGGGGGGGGCGGCCATGGGAGAGCCCAAGCCCACATCAATATATATTTTTTTATAAACTTTAAGCCCAAAATTGCTAAAATGTCATTTTTCTCAATTTTGACATTTTTCTTCAAATTAAAAAAACCCATGTTGGCTAAATTCATTTAAATAAAAAGATTTTATATTTAAAACACTAAAACTTTATGTTTTATATAAATTGGGTATAAATTGGAGCATTTGGCACTATATAGGACGTTTCAGATAGTTACGGGTCGGAACCGGACTTTCTAAGCAACTACCCGAAACTCTAGAAATTTTTCGGCCAATCTAATCTAACTAACTCCTAATCTTATAAATTATCTTYAATAACACTAATATAAACTTAATAAGAGCTAATCTGGAAGCTTAAATTTGACAGTTGTCACAATTGGTGAGTTGGACAAGTAAGAAGAAAAATTCAGTGTCCAGATCAACTGTTGAGGCTAAATATGTTGACGTTGGAAACTGTTGTGCCCAAATCCTTTGGATGAAAAACCAGCTCAACGACTATGATCTTCAACTCTCAAAGATCCCTATCTATTGTGATAGCACTAGTGTCATTGCAATTGCTAACAACCTTGTTCTTCATTCCAAGACCAAACATATTGAGATCAGATATCATTTTATCAGAGATCAAATTATGAATGATTACTGAACTTCACTTCGTACCCACTGAGTACCAACTCGCTGACCTTTTTACAAAGCCTCTTGATGAAACAAGATTTAACATCTTAATTAGCGAACTTGAAATGCTAAATGCTGAGGATTAATTCCTTCATCTCTAAGCAATATTCAATGATACATAAGTGAAATGATTCAGTGTTCTTATTCTATCACTAAACTCTTGAGTAAATGTATCTTTCTCTCGGAGGTATGTATATTTATCTTCTTTTTCTAAAATCTTAAAACCATTACTAAATTTTTTCTTATTCAATGATCAAAATGTTTTAAAAGAGATGTTTTAGTGTCTCCTTCTATTACTGAACTCTTGAGTAAATATATCTCTAAGGTATATCTACTTGTTTTTTCTTAAAACAAAACTATCGTTGAATCTTTCTTTATTCAGTGATTAAAATGTTTTAAAAGGTTAAATGATTCAGTCTTTCTTTATCCTTGATTTTTTTTTTAAAACGTATCTTACTTTTAAGATATGTTTTTCTTTTCTTAACTCAAAACTATCACTGAACTTTCTTATTCAGTGAATCTTTGTTTTAAAAGACTCAAAACCATTACTGAACTCTTTGCTTATTCAGTGATCTTTTAAAAGGAAAATGATAATGAACGGTCATTTTTCTATGACATCATTAATCTTTTTATTTAAATGGACTTCGTTACACGCGCGTCCTTTTGATACACGCGGTCCATTACTATTCCACCCTATCACAGGGTGATGACGTGCAAAGTTTTTCATCATTACACATTTTTTTAAGCGTCATTTTCCCCTCTCTCCTCTTTCTCTCTCATCTCACTTATAAATATAAGAGATATTCTCTCATATTTCTCTTTTCGCTTAAGCATATCTCTCAAGAACTTTGCTCTCAAGATTTTGTGCAAACAAGAACTCCAAAACTTCCTTAACTTCGAACCGGTTTTCTTCTTCCTTCCTAAAGAATACAGGTTTGTAGTCGTTTATTTGTGGTTGTTTTTCCTCTAAGAAACCTTGTTTATTATTTAAAAATGTTCTTCCTTCTTTTAAATAAAACCAAACAGGTTAAAGATCATTCTTCTTCTTGATTTTAACCTAAGTTTCAAAACCCTAAATCTTCTTGAAAAACCCTACTCTTCTTCTATATTTTTCAAAAGAAAGTTTTCTATCAAAACTTTATTCTAAAGTGCCTTTCTAACACTAATTTGTGCATCTTCTTCTTTTCTCTTCTTCTTTTATTTTTACAGAAATGGTTGTACAAAGTGTGAAATCTCATTCAAACCCAACAACCATGTCACTCTGCTCGACATACCTACAAACAAGCTGCAGTTTGCAAATGCTGCCAAGTTTCTAAAAAACTCGGTACTAGAATACACTCTATCCTTTGAACCAATCATGGTCAAGGACCTCCTCCAACAATTCTGGTACACATATGAGGAAAAGGACATTGACAAGGATGGGAACACTGTTGAGAAGATCTTCTTCTCCTTCAACCATGTGACTGTCAGCTTTGGTGTTCCAACCATCAGGGCTGCTCTTCGTCTTCCAAAGACTATGCCCTTTGCCAAGGAACCTAACACTAAACATATCATTAAGATGCTGGATGATATCAGGTACAATTGGTCGCTGAAGAAGGACTCTAATGAGCTGAACAAGTCCTTGACGAAGATAGAGAAAATCTGTATGTCTGTCATCTGGAAATTCCTCTTCTCGCACTTCATTCAGTGCATGAGCAAGACAAGCGGACAAGACCAAGCCTCATATGTAACCCAGAACATTGGCATTTCAGTGATTCGGAATATCAACGTGAACTACGCACAGCTGATCGTCGATGACCTGGTGTTGAAGTTGAACAAGCACCAATGTTAGAAGGTGGTGCCTTATACATGATTTTTCAGTGGGATCCTCTCCATGATCTTCGATGCCAACTACCCTACTGAAGGTAATCTTCCCATCTGCCGGCTTGGGTCTAAAATTCTAGACCACAAGACAAAGCCGACAGACATTGGTCTATTCATCCCAATCATAAAGATAACCAATGGTTCTTCTACCCTTTCTTCTTCTTCTTCTTCTTTCTCCACAGTGGTTAAGACTGGGACAAACCCCCCTCTTCTATCCCAACCACCACCACCTTATCCTCTGAAAAGAGGACACCGTTTGAAGCCCATCTTAGTCCTTCAAAGAATGCTAAGATAGCCAAAAATGGGAAATCAACACCTCTAGATATGACCTCTCAAAAGGTATCAGCTATTAAAAAGAGCCTTACCCCCGAGGCACTCACTGTAACCCCTCCTAGCTCTTCAGTGATCTCTTCAGACACTGTCGTACAAGTGGATAATCTCCCAATCACTCCAATGACCCAAATCGCTAAAAATGTGAATATCAGTATTGCCACTGCTGAACACTCATATTCTTTATCTGCCATCCTCTCCTCTTCTCCCTCCTTGGTCTCCATCACACGCGCTGATGATCCATCTGTGGTTGTCCCCACTGTTGGTGAAGCCATCACCACAGGACCTAGATCGGAGGTGCCTCAGACACTTGTTGTCGATCATCAAGATGGAGCATGTGATATTACCAGTGTCAATCCTATATATGATGTTGAGGACCCCTCAGGTAATCTACTAGCCTCCCCTTCTTTCTTTCCTACTAACTCTGATTTGTCTTATGCTCATTGTTCTCTCCTTTCTACAGGTCCTTTAGAGAATGAACCCACAACCATTGAGACTGATGAAGTCTAAAGCTTCTTCGGCCCGGTATTGCCATTGTTCTCAATAAAATGGAGGAAGTGCACAAAAAAGACCTGACTGACGACCTCTCTTCTATCAAAGCTGAGGTCTGTGAAGTCAAGGAGATGTTGAACACGGTGAATACTGAAGTTCGAGATAACTCTGATGTTTTAGCTGCTCTCTCCAACAAAGCCGAAGAAGTGCTTCAACAAATCTTCCAGCTCCTCCAGCAGCCAGCGCCAGTACCTAAAAAAGCTTTTAGAGAGGTTGACCGTCAGCAACTAGATCGAGTTGCTACTTTCAACATCCTCCAAGATGAAGATCTCTCCACCATCGATCACAGAATTGAAGACCTATCATCTAGTCTTAATGACCTATCCTCTCATCTTGATAATGACAAAGAGGGGGAGAAATATAAAGAGGTAGAGAATATTACTCCTGTGGAAACTACTATTGATGTTGCCGCTGAAGATATCCCTCATGCAGATGCTTTGATCCCCGCCTCTGAGGATGCCATCATCACTTACGCTAACGCTAAAGACGATGATGATGTTGTGATAGCTCCTGGTATTCATGAAGACCATCCCTCTACTTCTGCATTGCAAAATACTAGTAATGAAGATGAAGATGAAGACGATGATGAAAAAGATGAGGACAATGAACCTCATCTCCTTGATGTTGGAAAAGATCTTGGTGACAACGACGATGATGAAGACGACGATGACAATTTCAGCATCCAATTCCATCCAAGACAACCAGCACTGAAGGAATCTTCATCAGGGAAGCTTCAACTTCCAAGGGGAGAGACCCTCAGCTTCAGAGCACCAGCACTCCTCCAAAGATAAGAGCAAGAAAGTGGTTGAATACAATCTCACCGTTATTCTCAGGGTGATCGATCCATCTGAGGTTGCTCAATCCTTTAGGTTCGTACCCATTACCTCATATACTAAACCCGTTCCTCTTCTTCTCTTTGCACCAACAAATCCTTCTGGTCCATCAACACATCTTGCATCCTGTGAAAGCACAGATGAAGGTGAAGCATAAATCCTAATATCAGAAGTTGAAGAAGACTAGAGGAGGATTCAGTTGATAAATCAGCTTGACCAAAGTAGAGTAAAAAACCCCCCTTCGTAACCTCTGGTTGTGGTGAGTTTGATTTCCTCACTGACGTTGAATAAGAAGAGTTCTTCAAGGATGAAGAAGAGCTGAAGCTACATTGAAAATAATTGACAGTCTAGATTTAGCCAAGACTCTAGCTGCCCAAGCTCTAGCCAATGGGAAGCTCAAATAGAAAGATCCTCTTAAGTCTCAGGCCTGTCTATTGTCACAAGCTGGACGAGAACATGAACGGGCATTGACGTTGAAAGACCATGATCTGAATTGGTGCAAGGAAAGGAGCGAGAAAAGGATAAGTCCCCACAAGATCTCAAAATTCACCATCAATGGACGAATGAATGATGGTGGTCTCCTAGTCTCAATGGTCATTTTGCGAGAGAATCAAGATGTTGTCACCGAGTACCCTTCAAACCTCGATCAGTATGGCTTCTACGAGTGGTTGGAGATTCGACAGGCTATTCAAAGATCCAAATGCAAGTACAAGCCTATGATTGAAGATGTCCTAAATAAACTATTCAAGAAGGTGTCCAAGATCATCGAAGTCCCTCCTTTTCCAAAGAAGCCGCCCTCTCGAAGAAAACACCTTTCAGAACCTGAAGAAGGACCATCCCATAAGAACGAGAACGAGACCAAATTCCCTCTGGATGAACTTATGAAGATCGAAAGAAGTCGGATCTCTCAATGCTAAACCTAACACTACCTGCGAAGGGTCCTTACACAGTGCACGTGAAACCTGAGTATGGACTTATGTTCATTGACTATGACGGTGAATACAGGTTTCAGCGATTATTCAAGTTCCATCTCTGCCCGATAGATTACTTAGAGTATCTAAGAAAATAATGATCTATTTGGATATATGATGGAGCAAATGATTAGAAATGAATATCTCAGACGTCCTTTCAGCAACTTAGATTAGATGTCCTTTCAGTCTTTGTAATCTTATTTTCTTTTTTTTTACTTTCAGTGTATAACCTTTATTTATTAGGTCTGCCAGTACTGATTGTAATACTTGTAATAGTTTCTCTTGAAAAATAGTCAATAAAATTGTTAGTTCATTGAAAAAGATCCCTGAAAAAAGTAAATGGACAAGTATTTAAGAGTTCTATTTATGTCTTTCATTTACTGACACCTTTCTAGTCAGTGAATATGCTTTCGGTTTCAGTTATCAATATTGTGTATATTTTATTCTTTCCTTGTAATCCTTCACATCTTAAGTAAATTTTCATAATAAACTGTATCACTGAAAAAGATCCCAAAACAGTTAAAAGGGACAAGTATCTTACTAGTATCTTTTCTTTACTGATGTAACTTAAGTAATTTTCTTTATGTTGCTTTGTCATCATCAAATAGGGGGAGATTTTTGATCCTATCTTTCAATGATTTGATGATGATCCCTTTTTATCTATCGAAGTGTATTATCATTGTATTCAGTTTCAGCGATCATCACTAAGTCTGTTCAATGATCGCTGAACATGTATTGTAGTTCGTCCAGAGACCAATATTCTTTAAGAAGACAAAACTCACACCATAGGTCCTTCAGCGATGTGGAAGACATAAGATGAATATTAGAGACCAGAAAGTTCGTGATCTGAAGCGGTTTTCAATGATAACAAGCTCGTCTACATAAGTGTAAAGCCTGGACAAAGATTCAATGAACACTGATGAGACCTTCAATTTCATTCCAGTGTTCCACAATCAAATGAATCTTGTCGAGCAAGATACTTTTTGTCTTGTCCTTCTGCACACAAAGGGCAAACTCATACCTTTCTAAGTATAGTACAGTATGGAGTCACTCCTTTGACACCAAATGTGCTTACCTATTTTATGAAAGATAATTGTTCATATACAGCCAAAAAGGACTATGTACTGTAACAAAAGACAAGCTTTCCTTTAAAAGCTTGCCACGTGTTATGCACCTTCTTAATTGCATTTAATGCAATGAGTATAAATAGTTAAGTAGTTCTCCTCTTAGTTATATTTTTCCTCACTCTAAATTTACCCAAAAAGTTACTTCTCTCTGTACTCTCTATCTAAGAGAAAGACCACTTTAACAAGTGAAGATCAAATTACTTCTTATTTTATTTCTGGTAGCAAGTTTTTTCTTATTTCTATATGTAATTTTTGTGTGTATCTTAGATTGTTTAGGTAGGTTATATATCTTATATCTTTCGCATATAACTTGTAAAATTTGTATTGATCTTCTCTATCAATATATAATTTTAAAAAAGTAAAAGTTACTGTGTTTGTATTCATCCCCTCTTTCTACATATTGTTACCTATAAACTCTTATAGATCCGGCTGAGACCAACACATATAATATTTTTCTCGTATCGAGACATCTTTAATGGTGTTGACAAAAAAGAATTTAAAGTTTGAATGGAAAGAGGCGCAAGCTGAGGACATCATAACTTTGAAAGAAAGACTGTGTAGTGTACCGATTCTATCGTTACCTGATGGTATCAGAGGATTTTATGGTTTATATTGATGCTTCTAAGTTGCGTCTAGATTATGTATTGATGTAGCGAAGGAAAGTTATTGCATATGCTTCCCGTCAATTGAAAGATCACTAAAATCAATATCCCACTCATGATATGGAGTTAGTAGCCATTGAATTTGTTTTGAAGATTTGAAGACATTATTTATATGGTACTAAATTTCAAATTTTCACTAATCATAAGATTCTCCAAACATTTGTTTAATCAATGGGAACTGAGTAGTAGACAAAAATGGTGGTTAAAACTGGTGAATGATTACGATATGTATTACCCGGTGAAAGCGAACGTGGTAACGATAGGGGTGAGCATAGGCGGGTACCCGCCCTTTTTGACAGGAACCGGAACCGGCGGTTCTTGAGATATTGGAACCGGAACCGGAACCGGTTAGAGCGGTTCTTAAATTTTTGGAACCGGAACCGGAACCGCC